GAACATGCATACCCATAAACGGGTTCACATTTGGGAACGGACAAAGCGGAACGCGTGCGAAAGCGGCGTGCAGAGGGTGGCATGAGCAGAGCAGCAGCAGCGGCAGCAGCAAAAGGTGCACGACAAACAAGCAGAGTGCCAAGAGGCGAGTTCTGTACATGAATGGGGTCATGCAGACAGCAACCAAGAAGTCCAACATCAGCCTCGGGCCTCCCCGTTGCATTGCACGCTGTGTATCCGCATGTGTACTGCAGCGCATGCGTCGATAGTGCTTGTGGTTGTTGCTGCGTACTGTCGGGTTTGAGGTTAACTGCCGTCCCGCATTCTTCTTGTGGGCCGATGGCGATAACGGTGAAGTTCTGTTTGTTGCCTACAGTCGGGATGTCTCCCTTCTCTGCGTCGCAGTGATAGCCCTCCACGCAGCGCAGCAGCCGCTGCCCCTTCAGGTCCGGCACAAACCCGTGGCACCGGCCCCCCACGCACTGTCCAAAGCCCCGCAGACAGTCGCTGTGCTTCCGGCACTCCCCTGCGTCGGCCCCCTCCTCCCCCTCCTCTCCAGGCAAGTTCGCTGCGCGGTCCTCGATGAACTGCAGCCTACGCAGCTGAACAGCAGCGCCAGACTGCTGCTGCTCCTGCTGCTCCTGCTGCTCCTGCTGCACCTGCGGAGCGTCCTCTTCTTCCTTCGGGTTCTCTTCCTTCCCCTTTTGCTTTTCCTCCTGCTGCTCTTCCTGTTGCTGCTTCTGCCCCTGCTGCTGATGTACCTGGGGCTGATCGCCTTGCTGAGCCTCTTGAGGCTGTCCAGAATCTGAACTTGTTTGTTGCTGCTGCTGTCCATCGCCTGCGCGAAGACGCAGCAAACCTACTGGGGTGGCCCCCAGACACTGAAGGGGCGCGGAGCCTCTTCGGCAGCCACACAGAGTCGCAATCGCCTCAGAGACTTTCCCATCATCCACTAAACCTGCTCCTGCTGCTTCTGTTGCTCGTTTGGCTCCTGGTGCCCTTGTTGCTCTTGTTGCTGTTTTTGCTGCTGCAGTTTCTGCGGTCGGGAGCAGCAAGGCTTTCATGTC